GCCCCCGTCCGCTGTCATGACAATCACGATCAGTCAGCTTTCGGTATAGTCCCTGGACTGTCACCACAGGAGACGAGACTCCCGCGGATGAACGCGGAGTCTGCCATTCAACGGAGAATGAACGAAGGAGAAAGAAAGAGAGAGAGAGGTAATCAACGAGGCTGATTTAGTATACGGGTCGCGCGAGGGGAAAAGAAGTTTCGTTATCTCGCAGAATACGTGTTGCTTGATAGATCAGCGTAAGATCAGAAGCCTGCTTGATATCAAAACGCCGGATAGGGATTATGACAAGACAACAAACAACCCATTGTAAACCGTTTCCTGTTCCCCCGTACGCGTGCATGCGTATGTGTGTGTGTGTGCGCGCGCGCGCTCGTCCGCAGAGTACCTGCCATTACCACATAAAGGCCCAAAGAATTCTCGCGGAAGCGAGGCGAAGCAAGGCGAAGCGAGCCGAGCGCGTCGTCGCCGCCGCTGAGCAAACAAATTTAATGCGCGTGCATAACGACACCAATTTAAATGATAATGCGCGGTGTGTGTGCCTTCAAGATTAACTCGTAATAGGCCGGAATAAATGTCGGCGGACCTGTTAGAGGTGTATCTAGTCGCGCTACACAGGGAACAGTGGGTGCTAACTACTCCTGTAGACAAGCTTGTTTATATTGGTACAGCACGAAGCCTATGCGTAAATTTGTATACGCATCTGGCGGCAGTGCCAAGAAAATTAGGTCGCTGTGGATCACGTCGCTGGCTCTCTCTCTCTCTCTCTGCTTCCCACTCGCTCCCTCCCTCTATCGACATTGTTATTAATGCGACCACGATGAATTATCATCGGGCGAGACGTACTATCGCACAACCCGCAATTATCCGGCCGGTTATTAAATTTAAGCGGCATAGTATTTAATTATCGTCGTCGGACGAGGTGTTGCCGTACGTATTAGCGCTGTGCCATAATTTACTCGATTACGTTGTAGAACGTTCGATAGCCGATAATTCGTGGCCGCCGTAAAGAAACGCCACCCGAACGCTCCTCTCCCCGCGAGAACGAACATCGGCGCTTTTTCGTACGCAATTTTCGCGCTTCATTGTGAAAACGAGATAAAGAGAAGAAAGGAAGAAAAGGAGGGAAGGATTGAGGCATGAAAGTCTTTGGCGTCACCGACGATTACACCCGATAAATTTCGACGATAATGAGTGGCTTATCATCCGGACACTTATCGGTTGACACTTTCGCCCAAGTGGATTCGCCTAATTAAAGGAACAAGATGTAAACGATTTTATTTCCATCACGGTTCGCGCTATCTACGTATCTCGCCGACCACTCGGCACGAATAAGTGGTGCCTCCTTGTCCTCCTTCTCCTCTCTCTTCCTCTTCGCGGAACTCGAGTAACGCGCTTGAACCACCACGACTATAAGTGCCTGTCGAGTGCGCTATGACGTCGGTTTGATTAACGACAGGAATATTTCTTGGACAAACAAATGACGTGGTTAAGCTCACCGAACAGATTGACGTTTGGATACGCTTAGGAACGGCAATAATTCAGATTTCACGTTGAAGATAAATCGCGATCGCTGGTAATTGCTCAATGAGGATGGCACTTTGATTGGAATCTTTTAATTTTCGTCGAATCATATCGATATAACATCTCGACATCATCAAACGGCCGACAAGTGAAAGCCTCCGCGAGAGAGCTCGTTCGTCCGATGGACACGATGGATTTTCCTGAATTTCTTAAACAGCCAAATTCGAATCGGAACCTATTCAAATCACGAAGATTTCATCCGAGCGAAATTTCAATTCGACCCTTCATCGCCGGGACGTTGAATGTCGAGAGTGAAAAACGGGCGAGTCAGGCGGAGGAAATAATCGATGGCGTCTCGATCGAGAGTCGACGGGTAGTTTTCGGAAGTAAGCTGCACGAGGTAAGTTTGCCTCCGGAGAGGTGTCTTGTCGGGATTGTCGCGAATAGAATCACGCAAGCTGTGCCCTCGCTTCCTCGCATCTCGCCTCGCCGTTGAACCTCTTTGCATATACATTCTGTAAGATTACTTTGTGCGGTTTACACCCGCCCCGGCCGTCCTTCAACGCGCGCTGCGCTTCCAACCCTCGACTCCTCTCGCCGGGAGGCAAACTACCCTCCAAGTTTCACCCAAGGTCCCTAATGTATGCGGAACTATACGGCAGAAATTCCAAGTTCGGCATGGCCGTGTTAGGCGCCTTTACGATGAGTTTCCACCCTCTCGTTCTCTCTTTCGAGCGCCCCGCGCGCGCGGAAAGGGACGAGGAGACTGCCGACAAGACTCGGCCCGTATAAGAGGCGAACACGCGTGATCCTAATTAGAACGCGTCCTCGAGGTGCCGAAGTAAAAGCGAGCTTCTTGTTAGGCGTCTCGACGAAGGCGCCGTCGGCATTCGCGCGCTCCCGCGCATATATAGCGAGCGTACGAGCATCGCACTTTCGTGAGCTTCCTGCGTAAAAGGACTCCCCCTACTTCGCCAACATCTCTAAACGAACATCTCCGAAAATCTTCATTTCCGCGGCAATTAATGGTAATATTCACACACGTGGACGCGCTCGCGACGAAGGCGTACGATATCGCGTCTCGCACGGTAGCACGGATCCTAGGTGATTTACACCGATCGCTATGGAAGAACTCATTATTATTCTAGCATCATAGAGAGACGATTCACACACAAAGTAAGAAGCCTGAGGTAACCGCGAGAATTCTCACGAGGAACGCACGACAGTTAACGCATCTCGCCACCCGCGCTCGTCGTATTTACATAGAAAAGGAGCTGCCTGCGCTGTCGGAAAAACATAATGCTTACAAACGGCCGCATTAGTCATGTTACACGGGTGTAATACGTTACGCTTTAGCGATTACCTTGCGTCCGAGGTAGCTCCTCGTCGCTCTCACACACGCACACGTCGAGTATTGAACATTCGAAACGAGAGCGACAGGAGCGCGATCGAACCGTCGATTTGACGCGGGACGGAGAAGATTTGCGAATCTTCCGAAAATTGTCAATTCGTTCCGAGTTGTCGTTGTTATTCGCGCGATATTCGATCTGCGGAGAAATTTCCACGCGGACGCATCGTTTTGATCAAATCTCTCCATTACCACGCTCTTCCCGGTATAAGCCATCGTCGTGACGAGCTTGTCGCGCATTCGATGACTCGGTAACGAGCCGTTCGAGGAAAACACGGATGGAAAGTTACGTGAAATGTGTTGATATGGCAATTGGCCGCGGCGAATGGCGCGGCACGCGACACCGCGCTAGACGAAACGGTCATTAGGGATGCGAAGGGCGGAATGGCGCGGCCACGTTGCATGATAATTACTTGTGAAGAAAGCCCGACGAGGTGGCGGCTCTACCCACGAGCTTCCCAGGAGATTACAGGATGTCCGGAGGCGAGAGGATTCTCCCCGTATGGCCCGAAACCCTTTCTACGCTTACAAGCAATAAAAATTAACGGCTCGCCCGGCCAAGTCGTATATGAAAGGCGGCCCGCCGCGACCGGACCGCGGCCGGTGAGTAATACATAATTATCACGGGCTATTCAATGTATACGCGCCGCAATAAACAGTCCCTTTTGTAAGGAAATGCCTGTATAGAGAGAAACGTGTCAAAATCCTTGGCCGGACGTTAATGTCTTGTCCAAATTTCCCGGCGGGAAAAGGAAATCAGTCTTGTGGATAAAGATAGATTATGAATATCATTGACATCTCGGATCGCGTAATGAAAGAAATTTCATGTGATACTCAATGAAGGGAATCAATCGTTTCTTGATTGTGAAAAGAATGAAAGTCACCTCGCGCGTCTGACGAGGTGATTAACAAAGAGCGGAAATTGAGCGGATATCAATTACTTGAAAAATAACGCACGCGGGATGAGTACGAGATGAGAGTCGAAGTTTCCCTGAAAGGGCCGAACAAATTATGCGGCAACCACGCGCGAGAGAAGGCACGATCCGGTCATAATCGGCCGAAGGAAGCTTGGAACGGCCGCTTCCTTCCTCTTTCCGCGGAGTGTCTTAACCGGTCGGCGCCTTTAATCGTGAGGCCCGATAAACATATCGAAATTATGATGGAGGATCGGCGTATCCTGCGTTCCGTGCCAGCTTTGCGGTCGGTCGCGGCGGAAAGGAGCTTGCTTTTCCCACTCCCCGGTGCGTGCGCGCGCGCTCTCTCTCTCTTTCTCTCTTCCACTCAAAAGTCGGAGGGAGCCTGCTTCCTCCACTTTTAATTTTCAGGCGCGGCTAATTATGATTTACGGCAACATCGGCGCAACATCCTGATCGCTACGCGAGATACCGCCCGCAGGATATTCAAATGCGATGAATATTGCTCGCCGCGATAAACGGCGCACGAACGACGAGAGAAACGGAGAAAAGGAGACGGGAGGTCGCGAGGAGGAGGAAGAGAAAGAGCGAGAGGAAAAGAGAGAGAGAGAGAGAGAGAGAACAAGCGCGAGTGCGCGTGTAAAGGATACGGAGAAAGGATTCCTAGTAGCCTACTCGGTATGCACGATGAGCAGTCAGCCTTGTACACACCGCATCCTTCCTCCCACCTCGCCCCAAAGGATGTATAGGCATCCTTGCGCGTGGATCGTTCTGTGCCGAATCGCTCGTCGGAGTATTTAAAGCCCGACGGGATAATTCAATACGGGACCTGAACCCTTTGTGTCCCCGCGTGTGTTTGGAAAACATAAGCGACCGGCGCTGTCACAACACGACTGCCATGATTTAACTCCCGCGAGGAAGCCGAGGAGAGGTGGTACGGCCGCCTTCGCCGGAGGCATGCGGCGGATACCCGACTCCAGAAATTCGTCTTTGCGATTCGATAAAGTCCGGCATATTTTTTTCGCTTCGCTGTTCCTCACGTGTCGTCGCGACTTTCTCTTCTGTTTTTTTTTTTTTTTATGAACCGTGCTAAGAGCTCGTTCCTTTCTTCCCTAATCGAATACAGACGAAAAAACAAGCAAATGGTCACTTACTTTCTCTGTTCGTTTCTTAGTGGGGGTGGTCGTGCCGGCGCTGGGTCTGTTGGGAAGATCGGTTTCGCTGGCCATCCGATTGAAACGTTGCATCCGTTCGCGAACGCTCAATTGCTCGGCCGATACCGTATTCGTAGCAGTCACCTCATCCTCCTTCAGTTTAAAATTGTCGAATTGTCGAATTGTCACAATTGTCGAATTGAATATCAAATTTAAGTCTACGGCACTTATTAGGCATTTCCCGAGTCGATATTTTTGTTCTACATTATAATTATTAGTACTGATAGATCGTCATTCGACTGATTGGTCACTTTTTTGTTGCATGAATTGCATACAGGTTGATGAGTAATCGGACATTTACGGAGTAAAATTATTTGTCAAATAGCAAACTGTAAATGCCTAAGCTTCGACTCGGGTATTTCTTTTATTCTCCATGAATTTATCCGTTAATACTTAAAATTTCAGACGTGCGACAAATGATTTTGCACATCTGGAAATATGTAATGCCAACCAACCTACCAACAACATCTCAACGTCTTGACTTTCCGATCCAGCATCCTGCTCCATCATGGCACTCTGAATATCAACTTGCAGCACTGACACTCGCATCAATACAATTCGTTCAAAGCGTGTTAAATAACATGATATCGGCGAAAGTCCGATTAAATATTTCGAGAGCCGACGAAAATTATAGCTAACGCAACGATATATACAACCCGTAATATGCGTGTCGCTCTCCCGTCCGAAACACAATGTAACACTCGGTCATGAAAAAGTACGCGACGCGCGACGATAGCAAAACAATCAGCAAAACGCACGAAGTCTTCCCCCACCACTCCGCTTAAAGCTGCCGCTCGCCGGCGTACAACTAAATAATCAAAACAATCACCATTATCAAAACATTTCGAATCTTCGAGGAGGGCAATATTCTTTTCGTGCGTTACATTATGTTCCAAGTCGGCGAGCGATCCATATATCATAAAGTACATGTGTGAGTGTGCACTGAGAGAAAATAATATCGAAATACTAAAAAATATTTATTCAATGGGATGATTAATAATAGAGTTACTTATATCAATATATAGGGAGTTTCATAACATGTGAACATAATTTCAGAAATAAATTCAGAACACAAAAATAATACAAATGGTTCATATAAACATTTGTCTTATCTGACTTTGTTTCCGACTAACAGACATTTTCATATTTCACTCATTTTTATTAAAATTTTTGTTAAATTGTCAAACTTAAGCCGAATTTTTACATGTGTAGTCACTTAAAACTTATGGTTACAATACGACTGTTCGAATAAGAAAATATACATTTTATTATTAAAATCTAAAGCTTCTTATAAAAGCACTGTTTATTCTATTTAAATAAAAGAATTTATAGATTTAAATAAATATGTTATTATTACCCAACAAATAAATATTTTTTTGTTTTTAGATATTTTTTTTTAATGTACTTTACTTATCTCGTTCTCGTCAATACTATGAGTGATAGAAATATTGGTTTATTTTATTCTTTTATCTAGTCGGCTCTTGAAATATTTAATCACACAAGTTTTCGTCGGCATTATTTAACATGTGTTTTTGGAAAAAATCGTTGTACCTACGCAAGCATTAGTGTCATTGTATATCAGTGTTACAAATGATGTCCAAAAGGCCATGACGAAACAACGGAAATCAGGGTACCGAATTGGAAAGTTGGGACGAAGAATATATTTCACACAGGACACAGGAATTTCACATAGGACACTGAAACGTCGTAAATGTTTAGGTGTGACTAAACATTTGTTGCACAAGATGTTTCAACTTAAACGTAACAAGGGATGACGAGAATTTCGAGTGAAAATTTAAACTGGCATTTAAGACGACAATAACTATTTGTAGCGTCAAAAGGTAACAACTTAAGTAGAATAGGTAACAACTTAAGTAGAACCTCGATTATCTACTAACACTTCAAGTTCAATAGGATTTGCAGGGTTAACCCTAATTATGCACACTTATTTTTGAGTCCTAAATTCGTCACACTCCGTGAGATTGTTCGACTTTGTCGCTTTGTCATTTCCGTTTTAATTGATATTTTTAAGCTTACAATGTAGAATGTGATGTTTATGATATCAGAAAATTTCCGAATGATTTTGCAAATGTGACTTAAACAAAAGTAATGTTCGTTCGTTGTGGCGGACACCTGATATTTTAAGAAATACTTCATTTCGTCGTTAGTAACCATATAACAGCCTCCGCTTTAATACTTTGTATGTGCAAATGTGATTCACCCGTTTCCGCATCGTGTGATAAAATACACGATGATATCGTTAACATTCGCGAGCATCCGCCGTGTGATTTACAACACTGAGTTAATTCCAAGGAACATCGCGACACAACCTCTCCGCGCGCATGCAAGACAATCTGCGAAAATCTTACCTTTATGACGGCTTCCGAGGCGCCTCTCGTATTCTTCTCGATGTTCTCCTTGTTCTCCAACTTGAGCTTGTCCTGACTTTTGCGGCGCGGTGGGACGGGAGGCGACGACGCGCCGGGTTCCGGATGATCAGTCGCGCCATATTCCGAATTATCGTTCTTTCTAACGTCTTCACGACCGGAAATCGGCGGGGTTTGAACCTCCTCGAGGCTCGCTTGGGGATTACTCGATGTCGGGCTGAGAGGTGCGGGAGGTGGTGGCCGATATGGCGGAGGATCTCGTAGAGGAGAAACCGGAATAGGCAAATCGGGACTGACGTTCGAAGATGGCGATCCTATTTGCGGGGAGGACGAGAGGTCCAAGGAAACTTGCCGGTATTTCTTCTTGAGTACCAAGTACTTTTCGCCCTGCGAGAACGTTCACTCTGAGAGCACTCCGTGCGGATAAATCGGGCTCTTGAATCCGCGCGACGCCGAATTCTACTCGATCGAACAAGACACGTCGCGTTCGACGCGCGAAAATTCCCGTCGCAATGGCGGAAACGACGCCCGAGCAGGGATGCCAATCGCGCGTTTGAAATTTTGAACCGATCGCGCGCCGCGAGTCGAGCCGGCAACGTCGCGTCGCGCGCAACAAGTCGCTCCCGACTCGAGAGGCGGAAAAGGAAGCGCGAGCCCGTAACCTACCTCCTCGTTCTTTATGGTCGCCAGGGTGTTGACATACTCCTTGAAGCGATTCCTGGCCTCGACTGTAACGAGAAAACGTACGTTGCACTGCGCTGGACTCGCGTAGTCGCTGGGCTCGAGCGAGAGCCGCCCGTGAGTGTGTTTACATCGCGACGGACGCGTACACGTCGCAGTACAGGGCGACGGTGTCGACGGCGCGATCGTGCCCGCGGACATTCGACCCACCTCGCGTCTCCGGGTCCGTCAGGAACCGCTTGAAATGCTTCACTAGGTCGTGATTCCGCGCCGTACCGCCGTTTTCCAATAAATAATTCCGAATCTCCTCGAAGGACAGCTCACTAGGCGACGCCATCTTGGTCGGACTGACAGGCGCGGCAGCGCCGCGGCCGGCTGTCCGTGAAGCGAAGCGGCGCGTCGGTAACCACGCTCGCTGCGAATACCGCGCCAAGAGAAGGTTACGCAAACCTGTCGACAGAGAAAAACCTGACGCGAGGTTTCTAATCCGTTTCCTTATCTGTAAACATTCACATGTGAGATAAATGCACTGCATGACAATGCGAATCGCGAGGGACAGTTGGGTAACAATAGATAATATTCATAGCCGAGCGATTCTGAACTGCCTTCTATGTATACAAATGTATGTGTATTATAATTAGCACTATGTGTGGCCGGTATTAATAGTCGGATCTTATATTTAAGACCGTCTTGAGCTAATCCTCAGATGCTTCGTAGCCAATGAAAAAAACTGTAGAGCATCTGAAGATAAACTTGGAGACGGTCTTAAACATAAGATTTGACTAGGAATATACCGGCCTATGTTCACGTATCGCTATTTCCGCCTCACAAAGCGATTCGTTTCGTCAATTATACGCCTAATAAATGATACACACCGGTCAAAATCGTCGACGAATGTAAAGGATATATATATATTTAACGGCCAGAGAAGTATCAATCGATGTTCGTGCATTTGATGAGATATTTTATTCAGCTGCACGAATAGACGATTCTCGAAACCTTTTAACGGCGCGTAACGTTATTCCACAGATTTCCAACGAGTCCGAACGAGAGATAGACGCGGTGAGTCCCCGTCGGTCGGCCGGATTAAATACTGCATTTCAAACGCGCCGGCACATATTAATGGAGACGGTACAACGCGGAGAGTGCATTTAACGCTTTCCGCCGTAAGCTCTTTACGATCGAGGATCAAAACGCGCGACACGCTTCGGGGCCAGACCTTTTTACCAGACATTCAGGCGAAATCGTAATCTGTCCCTGCCACTGTTGGCGTGAGGCACCGCCCGGAACACGCGCCTCTATATTTATTCAACGACCAATTAGTAACCGGCGCGATAAATTCCGACTTAATTTACGGTATACCATCATTTTCCTTGTACTTTTAAGAGTGTTCTCCGTAAGAGAAAATGAGAGAGACGCGCGGTCTTCTCTACACGAAAGAGGACTTCTGCGTGTATCTCGGATCTTTGTTTAGAAATCGACGCGCACGTCGATCGTCGTGGGTATTAATTAACGGGAGGGAAAATCCGACAAATCCGCTGCAGCAGTATCACGTTCTCTCTCTCTCTCTCTCTCTCCCTCCCTCCCTCTCTTTCTTCTTTCCTTTATCGATCTATCTATCTACCTACCCATCTATTTCTCTCCCTGTAGCTCGTGTCGTCCGTCTTTTATAAATTTTAATACATCGTTATAAGCACATTGTAGATACCATTACGTCTCGTCGCTGTATTTACACGCATATATAACGAACTGGTTAACATAAAATTAGGAATATCGTGATATATATTCACTTCCTGCCGCCTAAGGGGTTAAAAACTATTACACAGCGCACGTCATGTACGCCGACGAATTCTCGTTAGCTGTACAATCACGCGCCCGCAACGACGGCGGGGTTCTTATTAACAGTGCCTCATAATTAAGAAAACGACCTTACTAATCACCCTCGATGTGTAGAAATACACGTAAACCGAAGGAAGAGAGAGGGTGCGAGAAGGGCGGGTATGCGTGCAGCACGCAGGGCGCTGCACGCGTATGTGTGTCCGTGGACCGGAAGCGAGGCGGTGCCTTTGTAATTAAACCCCCTTTATCGGCGATATTCTAATGAAACGACGAGTAATGATCGAGCGCGGCCCGCATTGGCGCGGCAACGGTCGCGCAGGTATTTCCTCGCAAACATCCATTTGCATTGCATCCGAACGTTCCACGTAATTTAAATCCAAATCTTTAGAATGATAATCTCCCTCTCACACGAGCGGGAAGTGAGCAGTCAAGTTAAAAAAATTCATAATTTCATCAGATAATACGTGCCATAAAAATCATTGCATCACATCGTATCATAAAATTCACATAATATCTCGGATATCATAAAATTCATGTTATATCACAAACTCGTAACATCATATCATAAAATATCGTGCAGACGCAATAAAAGTAATCTTGAAACAATAACGACGCGATGCGATTTCTCAGTTGGAAAAAAAAATCCACGAAACGGAGGATTAGCATGACGGTAGACCGACGGACGTACACGGTAAAAAATTCTGTGTGAGAAACGGCCCTCTGAAATTTTTATTTGTTGCTTCAACATGGGGAACGTGTTAAGAAGTACGCAAATATAATGTTAAATTAACATATCCTCTTTGTTAACATAATATTTTTTAACATATTTATCTTGTTAAAATAACTCAACATTTCACACTGTAAAAAAGAAAGGATTCAGTAATAACTACTAATACTTGCCGATCAAATATACGATTGCAATCAAATAATTTCGTTCCGCATACTAAATACATAACATACAGAATTAACAGTACTGTATCTACAGTACATGGAACGAAATTATTTGGTCGCAGTAATCAAATATTTAGTCGGTAAATATTCCAATATTAGTATTTATTACCAAATCCTCTTTTCAGTGTGTGACTCTTCGTCTAAAGAATATTACGGCATACATGATGCGGACGGATACGCGCAGGCGATCAACGGGAATCGCGACGATCCGCTCCCTCGAAGACGGCGGGCGAGGAGTCGCGGCGAAATCGTTGCAACGAGAGAGAGAGAGAGAGAGACGGTAGGATTTTTCTCTCGGGGGGAGGGCATGCACGCGCGTAACCTTCCGTCGCGAGCCGCGGTGACCCCGAGCGAATACACACGTGTGTACGAACGCGGCGGCGACGGCGTTCACGGCGCGCACGAGCGCCTCTAACCCGACACAATTCCGCGGACGGTCTCTCGCCACGGGATTGATGCACGGGAGATTGGGCACGGGAGGTATTCCCGCCGCGAGCAACAAAATGCGCGGGGTCGAGGTCCGCCGCCTCTGTCGAGGGGCCCCGGGGGGTGAGGCGATGTGACCGAGCGGCGAGAGGAACGAGCGACGGTCGGGAACGAGGACAAAGGATCGCGTCGACGCCCCGCGGTCCCGTAGGTGCATCCGCGATATCATCTACCCGTGTTCCTCTGCGTTATGCTTATGCTTACGTGCATACGCGAGAGATGCACGCGAGCGCCGCACAGCGCAAACGGTTCGCCCGGGTGATCTACCGCGCGAGATTCCGCCGAGCAAGAGAGTCGCGACGACGACAAACCCCTCCCGTCGGCTACTCGCGTTCATTATCCGGCCGCTGGCGCGTTTTACGCGAGAAATAACGGCTCGCGCAGAGACGGCTCTCGCATCCTCGCCTTCCTCTCTGCGTGCGCAATTTGTACGTTTAAGAGGCGGGCCTTCTGCGAGCTGCCGTAATTTGGCGGCCGGCCGTATAGCGGATCCCGATGTTTTGCGGATCGCGCGGCAGTGATATCTATATTTGTCCGCGTCACGCGATCACCGGCGCGGCGGGTATTCGCTCGGAGGGTGAGACCCGAAAATTCGACTTTGCTCGAAATTACATCCTATCTCGCGGCGCAATATTATTTCTCGCTCCGGCCAGAAGGCGCATACGATCATTCGCTCGTGACACATTCGGCTACTTCGAGAAGAAGACTGCCGTTGAAATGCTCACTGCGAGGAGGAAGTGCGCGCGTAGCCGTCTGCTCGCTCGCTCGCTCGCACGACGAGCGTGGCACGCGAAGGACGTGGGGACGCGCGGACCGTCGTATTTTTTACGCGCTACCGGGTCATTTCGTTACGTCTCCAACGCGACAAACATAAACAGGATCTCTCCTTTGCGGAACGTAAGGAGTTCCTCGTGCTTTCGGCAGAGAACTCGTTCTATAAACGCCGACGAGACGCTCCCCGACCATTAGCGCGAACTTGCCTTTCGTCCGCGGCGATTTAGCGATTCGCGTGTACATGCGTGCGCAATACAAAGACTTCGATGCAAGATGAGTGTATCGCGAACGTGTGCAAAACGTATGAAAATGATCTGACGTGTAACGATATGTAATGTCTATGATGTTCATGTTCACATGTCGGTGAAAAGTCCGGTCGAAATCATGTGGAAACTAATGTTCGACTTGATATTTGTAAGACTTCATCTAGATGCCTTGAATCTATTAGGAAGACACTTAGAAGGTGTTAAGTGCATGTTGACGATCTAGTCGTTGTTCGGTTTATATCCTATCCACGTCAAGTTGATGTATGGATATTACGATTCGATTTAAATATGATACCGACGAGGTATCGATAATAATCGGTCGACATCTATACGATGTCTTCTACATATTACATAGGTAGCAAGAGATAGACTGTATCTCATGACATGATATTAACAAAATATCACGAGGATCTATCGCTAATGTAACCTCGATTCTTCTTTACATCAATGAGAAATTTAGTTGTTGTCAAATCGAATGGTCTCAAAAGTCAATCATCGATTTGAGCGAACCCGGGTACATATAATGCTCTGTAGAAAAGTGTAATTTATAGTTAATAATAATGATAATATTTTATTGAATGCAGTTATACAGTAAAGATTCGGTATCATTTGGAGAATGAAAGCGACCGAAAGGCGCAGCCTAACAGCTGAAGAGTTAGTTTTAATGCATTGCCTTCTTAAAGCCAAACTAAATACGAATAATCAGAACAAGTATGAAACGCAGATTGAAAATTATATTACAGTTAAATTATAGGTAAATGCAAAACATATTTTAACGTAAATTTAACGTAAGACATAATTAAAAAAATCCTTTCCGTCGCAAATAACGGATCGTGAAGACCGAGAAAACAACCGAGGGAGGATATCTACGTTGGCGCGCGATGCAAATAAATAAATTCGCGGTTGAACGCAACCGGACAATGAGAGAGAGAGAGAGAGAGGGAGAGACGGAACGGGCAAAAATCTCGCGTTTTCTTGCTCGCGGGAGATTCGTTGGAATTACTTGGCGAAGGAAGGAACGGTTCGCGGATCGTCGTACCTCATTCGCGGGACAGTGAGTAACGTCGCCTGGCAAACAGTAAATTCGTGCTGGATCCGGTGGCGAACTTATAGCGCGCTATCGCCTCTCGCCATATAAAGCGACGATAGGGTCGCGGGGGCAATATACGTCCGACAGGAGCGACGTATATATTCGTCCGTAATTGGAGCGCGGCGCTCGGGAATCGGCCCGCGATATAAAACGGACCGTATAAAGACCGTACTTTGGTCGGTTTTTGCGCGCGGTTTTTAGTCACCGTAGCTCCGGTGGTCTCGTTAGACGGACGATGGGACGTCCGGAAGCGATCCGCCGTTGCGGCATTACGCGTGTGCATTTACTTCGCGCGGCGTCGGACTTGCTATCGAGGAAAGCCGTGTCACGGGAAACCGCTGGGTGCTCGTTGGTTATCAGTGAGACTCCTTCGGACGACTAGTCGCGAACATTGTTATTCCGAACGTTCTCGGGAAAAGCAACACTGCATTGGTCGCGTTAAGAAACAAAAATCAACGCGCAATTTCACGTTTTAGCAAGAACGTCCGACGGATCGCGTCGATCGAGTAAGAAACACCGACGGGCCACAGATGGGACGCAGCTGAGACCGCGAGTGACATCGGGAACGCATTTCGTTACGTGAAGTTAGGGCCCCTAATGTATCGAAGGGGGCTGAAAAAAGGTCGCGCGAGCCGCTAAAAGGAAGCGGACGCGGGAAGATCTATCTGACCGCTCGATCTAAGTCCGAGACTACCGTTTACCAGTGGGTATTAGAAATTGTCACAGGTGCTCGCCCGTATATACCGCGCGCGCACGCACGCACGTATGTGCGTACGCCCGAGGGAAAAGTCTCTCTCTCTTTTCCTCTCGCAGTCCATCCGTGCGCCACGTATGTTTGATGTTCCCACAGTTTCGCGGGCGATTTTTGCAAACGGCCTCGCGCGTTTGCCGACGGACGGACGGAAGCCATGGCGAACTTCAAAGATTCGCGATCGAGGCCTCGAGTGGTATAGGCCCGTCGCATATTATCACGCTGCCTGGCTGCGTGCATATCCGCCTGCCTACCTAGCTAGCTAACTAACTATCCGTCCCCGCCGGCGGCGTCCTCGCGGCGCGCGGTACCGCGCGCACACACAAAGTCGAGGACTCGGCCAACACTCCACGGAAGCGCGTTTATCGAGGACCGGCGAGGAGAACAAAGTGCACCTTGCCGATGCGGCTAATGGCAATCTTGTTTTATGCTCGACCGCGTGTGTATGCACGCGTACGAGAAAAATCGCGTGCACGTGAGCCAGATCTTATTATGTGGGACGATAATGAGCGTGCGTGTGTGCGTGAGGTGCGCGCTCGGCCCGTTCAATTTTCCCGTCACCGTCGTCACACCGTCGCGATAATTTTTGACTCGGTCTCCGCCAATTATCAATTACTTCGGCGAAAGCCCCGTGTTCCGTCGCGGAGACCCCTGTCATCGGAATTAATTTCCAGCGTAATTCCGCCGTGACATTTATTGACTGACGTTTATTGATAACGTTTATCGGGAGAGCGAATACCGGACTCGGTATTCCCCCGGTTAACGCTCCTTCTCCCGTTTGTAATTTCGCGATGTCCGATAATTGCGGAGCACCGGCCGCTCGCTCGATCGTTCGCGAGCTCAATTTTCGGCATTCGATCGCCGAGTAAAGTATCAATGCGAGAACGCGCTCAAAACCGGATTGGTAAATTACAAACGTTTATAGGACCTCGATCAATCATCGACGTCGGCGCGAGCAAGTCGCGCTCGCAACGGGGACCGCTGCTGCACCGCGCGATGATAACGACCGGGCAAGTGTCGGGTATTAGTAACGTTTTAAGCTGAACGCGCGCGCGCGCGTCAGTCAGTGTCGCAGGGCCGACCGGGGAATTAAAATGTGCGAGCGAAGAGCGCGTGAATGAAAAAAAAGAAAGAAAATAGAGCAAAACGAAAAGAGAGAGAGAGAGAGAGAGCGGTAGCCGGACGAACAATCGTCGGGCCGAATCGATGAAAGGGCTCGTTCGCTCCGAGCGAGCAAGCGAGGGTGGGGTCCGCGAAGTGCTATCAACGAATCGTGTCGCTGTCAGTAACGACGCATTAACGCATTCATATCGCATTCTAACCCCCCTTCGTTCGATTACAACTCGCGCGTACCTGCACACAGTCGTCATGTAGCTGTTCGCCCGTCGCCGCGTGCAGACGTCCCGATACACTTTTTCTCCGCCTAACCGAGACACCCGTGTTGGACGCGCGAATATTCGCGAACGGCGGCATCCGTAATGGCCGTGTCGCACGGAAGTACTCGTCACACGTCTTTTCCCGGGACGTGTCGCGAGATGTTTTGCTCTTACGTTGGTACGCGTGGTGCCGCGCGACGCCGAGATTTTGTCATCTCACGGGTGCCCGGCCTTTGGCGCCAGCGACATCTGCACTGCGCAAACGATCGCAGGTTTGAACATGTCGATCGCGAGCGACGTCGTGTGCATTTTTGAGCGCGCCCGTCTGCGTGTACGCCGCGAATCTCGGATATATCCGCGCGGACGTGACGCTATCGGGGAAGATAGCCTCGCCGTGACTCCGATATCTTCCCTGGAGAGACCCCGGCGACTCGGGTATCTCGCGAGTTCCCGCGGTCGGCTCGAAGGGCAGCTACGAGGAGGGCGCGCGGGGTTAAGCGGTATATACGGTCGGGATATAAGTGAAATCGCAATAATTACCGGCGGCACGGATCACAAATCCCGCAATACGGTAGTTGGTAGGCGGGATGGTCTACCAACGGGCGCATACAGGTATTATACGCAAGCTCTTTGTCGGGGGCCCGGAGGTGGGGTACGGTTTATATTGGCGCCACCTCCTGCACGGTTAAGCGAGCGACTAGGGCAGACTTACGCCTTACACCTCTCTCTCTCTCTCTCTTCGTCCCTCTTTCCCTCTTTCATTCTCTCTCTCTCTTTCTCTCTTGCAATGCACCCCACCTCGCTCTCTCACCCTCACTACCGCTCGTCCTTTCTCTGTCGCTCCCTCTCGCGTCTCTCTATTCTCCTCTCTCCCCTCCCTCTCACACCGGTACCGGCCCTCTCTCTCGTCTCTCTCGCCGCGCGCGCTCTGATGCTGCACAACTCCCGCTCGGCTAACCCAACCTAACCCGCGGGCCAACTTCATTCCACGCCGACTGACCACCACCGACGGCCGTCGTCGTCCTCGACGCCGTCGTCGCCGCCGTCGTCGTCGTCGTCGTCAGAGAACGCGGTCACGCGACACACGTCGACCCGGTCGTCTTCGGCGCGTTGTACCCGCCGTACGTACGTGCTCTCGTCTCCTTTCGTCTCGCTCTCTGTTTCCGTTTTTTTTTTTTCTTTCCCTCCTCGGTGCACACCGGTCCGACCACCCTCGGCGCGTCATGACGATATTATTGTGACGGGATACGTGACTGGATTCTCCGCTAGTGACTGTGCCCAGGGTCTACGTATTACAAAACGGGTCTCTCTTGCACTTACAGAGCGTAGAGAGTGCCGGGGAAATTAAGAGGACGTGCCCAGGAGGAAGGGGAAAACAGGAAGTTCGTCGGCTTAGCCGTCGCGGGACAACGCTCGTCCGGAAGACGAAGGGAAAGAGGACGAGCGATCATGGACTTGTCCGAAGACATCGGTTGGGAGCACGTGGGACTACTCCAGGAGGTCTCCGCCGCGGAACCACCCCCGCCGCCGCCCGCGCCCGACTTCCTAATTCAACAACAAGAGGTAAGTGCTTCTCTCTCTCTCGCACACGCATGTACACACACGCGTTCTCGTATACCGGAGCGTGATTGCGCTTTGACCCTCCGCCGCACGGCGCACGAAGTTAAGGGTCGAAACATGAGTCCATTAGGCGAGTTCGCGAGGAAGAAAAGCGCGGGAAAAAGTACGCTCAGCCCGCGCGCGCGAATATCTCCCGGTTTCTCGTGACTTACGAAACGGCACGTTGCCAGACCAAAAAAAAATCAACACAACAGCGCATATCTATTATCGTACACGCGGATAACTGTGTCTTGTACGGAGTCTTTCGGGGAATTATCCTACCTACGTTACCGCGAGCGGTCTGCGAGAATCAAGTCGAAGCGGTGTTTATCGCGAGCCGACAATGGACGTTCGAAACACGCGAACGATCGTACGTAATCGTATCCTCCTTCTTGCTTTTTTTCCAATTTATCGATCAGGTGGCCACTAATTGACGTAATGTGACGGGCGCATGTCGAATTATAAAGGCACGAGGACGCGCTAAATCCGCGCTTACGCCGATTCGTCGCGAGCGGCGAACGTGCAATCACGTTTCACTTAAGTACGCGATCCACCGGACAATTTCGGTATTTGTACGGGGCGCAGTCTGTCATTTCGCGCGCTCGCCTCGCCTCACCGCGAGCGCCGAAGGATCCCATTTATCCGCGGCACGGCCTCAGGGGCGAACGCGGTAATACTCTTGCGCGCGAGAGCTATCTTTTTAATAAACCGCGCCACATATCGAGTGGGGTGGGTGGAGGGATTCCAGTGTGGAAATCATTATCATAATGATACGGCGGGGCGCGGTGATTTTATTCCGTGAAAACGATCACGGCACGTACGTCACACACGCGGAACCCGAGGAACGTATATTTAATTACGCCGCTCATGGCGATCGCGCGCTTCGTGGCTTCACTTTCTTAGCATCTCAATTACATCGTTATTATCGGACGCCATGCTGTGATCCGCTCGCCGATCTTTATCCTACAATTTCCTGGCGATCGCCGTATCATCCCACTTGGACCGTTTACTATAAACAGTCGCGCGCGCGAGCGCATAGTTCAACGATCTCGACAAGAGAGAGAGAGAGAGAGAGAGAGAGAAAACGCATACGAAATTGCTTATCCTCCGAGATTAAAAGATCATAACACATAGAACTCGCTAAGAGACGTGCCCCGGGAAGCTCGGTAATTCGCGAGCAAGTCGATTCGTCGGTACGCCAACATCCTCCGGAGGATCCGACACACCCTTCCGGACGAACGACGCGCGCTCCTAAGTATTCGACTTGCGCTTGCGAACACGCCATATATACCGGCGGGTCGCAATTAAGAGAGACCGAGGTGAGTCTCTCTCGCGAGCGAGAGGTAGAAACGGTCGATTCGCGAGCTCGCCGACATTCCGATAGGCTGCGCCCGAGGAAGCACCTGGATAGTCGTCGTAGCGATTTTTCTGTTTGCTTAAGCCACGGCGAATTAGCGATAATCAACGACCGGGGCCACCTGTCATCGGTCCGATCGGAGCAAGGGATTTATATGTCATTATACACACGTTAGTTTCCTTCGCGAAGGAACGAGACGGCAAGCTCCGTCCTCGGACGGACGGTCGGACGATCGCCGGTCGAAAGGGACCCCGGCTCGTTCCGTTTCAATTTCGTCGGGCCCCTCGCATAACGAGCTCTCCCTTCCTCTCTTTCTCCGTCTCTCTTCCTCTCTTTTCCCCGGCGGAGCAGCATGAGTCCACGGGGCGTTGGTTACGGTGCCCTGTAATCATACCCGAAATTATAGGCATTTAGTCGGGCATGAATGAGCGGATAGGAAAGTTTAAGAAGAAGATATCGGTGGCATCGGCGCGTCAGAGGCGCGTGCAGGTCGCGGCCCGTTGCCTCCGCTTCCCTTACGCCCCTTGTCTGCCCCCCCCTCGCCCTCCTTGGTCCCCTCGCCGCCTTCGGTCGCCGGTTTCTAGAAGCACCTGCGCTACCCCGATCACAGCCCAGATTCACCTCCGATACTGTCGACCCTCCGTTCCTCTTGCCTTCCTTCCTTCCTTCCTTCCGCCACGCCGCACCACGCATGCGTGTGCGTAAATCCCGAAACATCCCGTCGATCGACTGCGATCCGTCATGCATCATGATAATAACTGCCATGACGCTGTGCGCGCTGATAGCGCCGAACAAGAGCGATACGTTCTGCGAGGCGACGAGAGAGAACCGAGAACACGCAGTCGCACGCTCATGGCGACATTTAAAGACTCTCGCGAGTAGAGAATCTCGAGAACGCGGCCCTACGTATCGCTCGAATTTCGCGAGGTCGGCGAAAATATTCCGCTTGCGATACTCGAAGCGCGCACGGCTCTCGCGACTCGCACGGTTTTCGCGACTCGCTTGCAACGGATGGACTGGGTGTGTCGTCCTATTAAAACGATATGCGAGAACGCGATCGCATCTTCCCTCGGAAGGATCAACAGTAAGTAATCGACCCAATTAAAATACTGGAGGAAGGCTCTCTCTCTCTCTCTTTCTCTTATTCTCGCTCCTCTCGAGTGTCCGACATGTGACAAATGCGCGCTCGCCGCGTTGCGTCCCAGCTGCGGACTCTGAAAAACGCGCCGAAATATAGACTGCTAATCGAATCGCACCTGCGTCGAGATACGCTACTACCAACTCCTGAGAGCTGGTTTCGCAGTGCGGATACACTCCCGGGCATCGCTGCTCACGTATGAGTTTCCCACGGCGGGCCAGCTCGGGGCCCGTGTGGGAATATCTGGCCTTATTACTCGCGCATAGGTAACACGCTGGAGCGCCGATCGGCCGTCGTTTTTCGTATTCCTACAACGTGTACGTCCACTCTCGCCTCTCTCTCTCTCTCTTTTTCTCTCTTACTCTTGCTCTCTTCTTCATTCTTCATCGTTCGATTCTCTCTTTTTCTACGGGCCTCACATGACGGTCATAGGTTGGCAGAGCCTCCGGGCTCCGGTAGCTGCCGAACGGGATGTGCGGTATCCGTACACGCGACATTCCATTGTGTTCGGTGCGTGCGTTGTAAGGCCCCGTTCACACCGAAAATCGTGATTCCGCGGAGGAGAGAGAGAAAGAGAGAGAAAAGGAGACGCGGGAGCGCGAGACGACGCGATCGTAGGAGGCACGTAGGCGCTCCGTGAAAGAACTCGGCCGATTCCACGCCGATAACGACGTCGCGCGTCTCGCTTCCGAATTGCCCCCTTTCTGTCAGACGATCTTCGCGATGGGGAAGAACGTCGAAGACGTGGAGCCGGAGCGACTGGCCATGCGGCGACTAGCGCGGCATGTCCGTGTCGATACCAGCTAAGAATCGATGCGATACACTGTAGGACGTGGCCATGAACGATTTGCGGAGCGTCGTAGTTGAGAGGCTTTGAGGGAATTTCAATTCCACGCGGTATACAGGTTTCCTTCTCCCTCGCTTTCTCTTGT